TTGCATATGAGTAATTGGTGGTCTGTTCCACAATCAGCCCCCGGCCTAGTTTTCACAGCTGATATTGAGCTTCTCCAGCGGTTCCTTCCACAGATGTAGTCGATCTGATTCCTGTGCATACCATCAGGTGAAGTCCATGTGTATAACCTGCATTTGTGTCTCTTAGAGATGTTAAAGATGAATCAGATTCAAGCAAGTAGAATGAGAAGAGTTGGCATTAACTAGGAAATGAAGAATGAAGAGAAATAATGGGTAAAAATCAATAGTTCAGTATGGGACATATTAATTAAATTAGATATCCATGAGGAAAGGAGTCTGGAAAGCACAGAAAACCAAACTGAATACATGAATGTGGATTCATCTGTATATAAATAGGATCTAAAGCAATGAAACTGGATAAAATCACCTTGAGAGAATATTTATAGGAAACTGTGGTCTCCTTAAAGCTAAGAGGAAAAATCTGATCAGAGAAAGACACAACCAAATATGCTACTAAATAAGCTGTGGTTCCACAATGAGGAAACAGAACTTTGATAAGTGCCATCTGAGGGTTGTGAGAATGAAAGCCTAAATACATTCAAAATACAGAAGAATTAGAATAATGGCCACAGACAACATTTTCAAGGACTTTTGTCAAGCAGAGAACAGGGGAAATAAGGGTATAAGTGGAGAAGAATGTGGAGTCAAGAGGCCGAATAAAGAGTCTAGCTTTTCAATGACATGTTCTGTCATGCCTGGAGACAGGTTCTATCCATGAAAAAGATACCTATGTGGAACTACCATCAGTTACTACATTTTACTGTTTTTAAAAAAAAATGTAAACTGTACACTATTCATAAGAACACATTCTCTCTTTTTTAAAAAAATAATTTTAATGAGCATCTATAGAGATCTTGGATTTCCATTCATTCACTGCAGAACACATTCTCTTTTTTGGAGCACTTTCACATATACCTGTTCAGAGCCTGTATCTTCAGTCCTTCCTCAATGCTGTGACTGAGTGCTTGCTGATTATTGTGCTTGTTGATCCTGGCTAATACTCTCTCTTGATGAGCTTCATACTCATCACGGCTAGGATAAATTTTGCTGATTAGAGCATCAAAGTTTGGGTCCGGCCTTAGTGATCTCTTGGAAACCAGCTTTTTCCGACAAGTAGGACATTCTTTGTTGCTAAAAAAAAGGAAGGGTAGGAAAATGTAAATAACGCCAGTAACTCTGAACTAAAGAAAAATAGCCAGCTTTTAGATGATTACCATTTAGTGAATGACTTTACTAAGTTCTAGAAACTTAAAACTCATTAGCCTCAATGCCTCTGAAATCTGATTATGGGGTTAACTTAACCCAACTTGCTCATGGAGAGAAAATTCTATGAACAAATGACCTGAACCCCAATCTATCCTGTGCCATCCTAATGATCTCTGACAGCCTTGGGCTCACTGCTGCAGTCACTGTGTCAATCCACCTTCTTTGGGGTCTTCCTCTATTTCACTGACCCTCCACCTTCCCATGCATGATGTCCCTTTCCAAAAAACAGCCTCTCCTAGCAACATGTCCAAAGTATGAGAGATGGAGCATCACCACCTTTGCCTCCAAGGAGCACACACTTTGGATGTACTTTTTCCAATACATGTCTGTTGGTTCTTTGGAAAGTCCATGAGATATTCACAATTTAGTTAAGCAAAAACATGAAGGTTTCTAGCTTGTATTTTCCCCAAGACAAAATATGCATCTTTTTAAGCTTGTAAAATTACATAAAAATTTATAGTTCTGAATTATACTGTTAGAGAGAATAACTTTCTCAAGCCTCACTGCAAGCCCTATCCTCCTACAATGTAGGTATCTAATACAATTCATTTCAACATACCCACTTCTGAGAGCTGTGATAATGCAATCAGCACAAAAACGATGTAAACACTCCTTTGTAGTCATAGTGTTCTTCAACATATCCAAACAAATTGGGCACATTAATTCACTGTGCAGACTTCTAGGTGAAACCACAATTTCCAAACCATCTGTTATTGCCTCCTGTAAAAGAGTCGCTTTAAATTTTGGGCAATTTAAAACATACAAAAGTACTAAAAATAGTAAAAAAATAATTTCCACATGTCCTCATCACCCACCACTACCAACTGAAAGCCAATTCAGTTGCAGCTGTAATTTTCTACTCCAGCAGCACCACCACTAACTTATATAATAAACTCTAAACACAATGTATCAATGCATTTAAGAGATAACTTAAGAAAACAGCCTAATGTGATAAAAAAAAAATTAAGTATCAAATCTGATTAAGGCTCTAGTTCCAGCCATATTAACTAGCTGTATGGCTCTGGCTCTAACACTGTTTTATTACCTGGGAAATGAGATACTCAGGGCTAACTACTTATCCCTACCAGCCCCCATCCACTCAGCTGTGCTCTGGAAGGTTTTCCCTGGTTGACTCCCACTTCCCCAGAAGCTGGTCACTTTACCTCTCTTCCCAGAGGGCCTCTGGCTAGACTCAGACTACCAACCTTAAGGAATCGTTAAAGTGAAATTTTAAAGTCTTTGGATGAACAGCATGAAACTATTCTCTAACTTATAAACTGTTAACTAGCATTTCTCTTTAAAATCACTTTTTGATCTGTATAACTGTCTTCTCTATGAAAGCCATTTCACACAAAGTAGTGTCATTGACAAGCTAATATACAAACTGACTGGAAGACTCAATATCATGAAAATTACAATCCTACAAAAGCAATGCAATCCCAATCCAGATACCAAATTCATTTTTCAAGGAGATTGAAAGGGGAATTATCAAATTTATTTGGAGAGGCAAGAGGCCCCAAATAAGCAACAAAAATTAAGTGAGAAGTATAACACTCCCTGACCTCAAAATACACACAGCAGTAGTAACCAAAACAGCACGGTACTGGTACAATGACAAGCACAGAGACCAATGGAGCAGAATTGAGAATCCAGAAATAGACCCGACTCTCTATGGTCAGCTGATATTCGACAAGGAAATTAGAACTATCAAATGGGGAAATGCCAACCTCTTCAACAAATGGTGCTGGCAAAACTGGACTTCCACCTGCATAAAGCTCAAACAGGATCCACATCTCCCACCATACACAAAAATCAACTCCAGGTGGATCAGCGACCTGGGAGTAAAACCCAAAACCATAAAGTTCACTAAGAGACAAACTGGGATTAAGCTTAGAAGCACTAGTCTAAGGAATAAGTATAATATATATGAAATAAAAGACTAATATAGTCTTTATTCACTACACTATTAGCTGCAGCCTGACCATTGTAATCCACAGGACTGTCAAAGCTGATGCTTCTTAAATATATCACCAGGCCTTTCCTTTTCAGTCTGTCCTACCCTGGAAAGCTCTGCTTAAACCTGTCCAACAGCAAAACAACACACCAGCCTCCAACAGGTCATGATGGTCACATATGACATGAGGAATTGAATTTAAGTCTTATACTTGGAAGATAAAAATTCTACCACAGAACCACCAGTCACCTACATTAGTATTAGTACATGTACTTGTCATAATTTAAAAAAAAAGGGGGGTTTCTATATAAAAATGCATTTAGTGTTCTAATGTTGCAGAGATAAGCAGCTCTTACTTTATTTACCACCATCCTTATGATCCTAACTCATGAACAGGCTTTGAGAAAAAAGGTTATGGAGGCACTAAAAGAAACAATACTGTTTGTTACACATTGACATTGGTTTTAACAGAGTTGCTGTTTTTGTTCCACTGACTACAAATCATAGAGGCTCTATGAACAATGGGTGTTAACCTTGCTGTCTTGAGCCAACCTCAACATCTCTGACTCATCTGACTCCACTGCCACAGTCTCTGTGTCAATCTATCTCATCCACAGTTGTCCTACCCTTCCAAGAGTGATGTCCTTCTCTAAGGATTGCACCCTCCTGACAACATGTCCAAAGTATGTGAGACAAAGTTTCAAAATCCTAGCCTCCAAGGAGCAACCTGGTTTCCCTTTCTCTAAGACAGACCTGTCTGTTTTCTTGGCAGTCCATAGTAGATTCAATACACTTCTCCAGCACCACAACTCAAAGGTATTAATTCTTCTGTTATCCTTAGTCTCTCACTGTCCAGCTCTCAGATGCATAGCCAGGGTCTGAGAAAACCATGGCCTGGATCAGCTACACATTAGTGTCTAAAATGACACCATTTACTCTTTAGCACTCTGAAGAGGTCTTTGACAGCTGCTTTTCCCAATGCAACTCATCTTTTGTTTTCCTGGCTGCTGGTGCTAAAGGTGTTGATTGTGGATCCCAGCAAGATGTAATTATTAACAACTTCAATATTATCTTCATCTATCATGATGCTACCTACTGGCATGGTAGTGAAGATCTTTGTTTTCTTGATTTTGATATCCATATTGAAAGCTAAAGCCCTTGATCTTCTGCAGCAAACATTTCAAGTCCTCCTCAGTTTTTAGCAAGCAACGCTATGTCATCTGCATAACGCAAGTTGTTGATGAGTCTTCCTCTAATCCTGATGCCACATTTTTCTTCATGAAGTCCAGCCTCTCGAATGATTTGTTCATCATACAGACTGAAAAGACATGAAGAAAGGATATCTCTCTGGTACAGTCTTTTCTTGATTTTTAACCCTGCAGCATTCCCTTGTTATATTTGGACAACAGCTTCCTGGTGTTGGTATAAGTTTCACATGAGCACAGTCAAGTGTCCTGGGATTCTCATTCTTCTCAATGCAAGACACACTTTGTTGTGATCCACATAGTCAATGCCTTTGAACAGTCAATAAAACACTAAAAGACATCCTTCTGGTACCCTCAACTTTCAGCTAAGATCCATCTGACATCACCAGTCTCTTCTAAACCTAGGTGTATTTCTGGCAGTTCTTAGTTGATGTACTGTTCTAGCCAATAACCTTCAACAAGACTTTGATTGCATATGATATCAGTGCTACAGTCTGATACATCAAAGGCTGCATCTGTTTGTTAAATTATGTCAACTGGTATTCCATCAATTCCTGGGGCCTTATTTTTTGTCAGCCCTCAGAGAAACTTGAACTTCTTCCTTTTATTATCTTTGGTTCTTAATCATATGCTACTTCCTAAAGTGGTTCTGTGTCAGTCAATTCTTTTTGGTACAGTGACTATTCCATCTTACTTTGGTCTTCCTGGATCATTCAAGATTTTTCCCGTTGCATTTTTCATTATTAAAACTCATGAATGGAATTAGTTCGTCAATTCCTTCAGCTTCAGAAAATCCAAGAAAGTTCTTCCTTTTTGATTATCAGATTCTGACTCTTAAAGCATTTTCACTTTGCTTTGTCTTCACGAGCTGCCCTTTGAAATTTTGTTTTGTTCACTACTATTCAATGCCTCAAACTTTTAATTGAGTGAACTTCCAATAATATAACAACAGCCAGTTCCAATTTGCACTGGCCCTTCATCATTCCAATGCTTTCTCTACTGGATCAGTGACTGAGAGCATCATAAGATCTTTTCTATTAGCTGGCCAAGTAACTGTCTTCCACATTTTTGGTACAAACTAATTTTACCATTTTCTTCTACCTGCAGACTTTCCTTCCAGATCTGTCAACAAATTATTCAATCTTACTATTAACAAATTATAAAATCAACCAATCATTAATAAATCATCCCACTTCTCTACCAAATATGCAAACTACCTTCTTTCTTGTTACACACAGAAATTGTCCATTGCCTATCAAAGGGAAATTTCCCCACTAGTACTCCTTCTTTGTCAGCAGACATCATCAATTTCTCCCTTCCCACTAGGTCAGCCTAATACATCTCTACCTCAGTAATGCTGCTGCATGTGCAATGTGAATGATGCCTTTATAAATTATGTAAAATTGGGGCAAAAGGTGAGCACACTCTGTCCCATACAATAAACATTAAAAATCCCTCTGAATTCTCTGTACACTCCAAATTTTGTTGTTTATTCCCCTGCACAGCTAAACATCTCTCAAGAATTTACACACGTCTCTGTTCACCACTCTTCCACACTTATGCACTGTGTGTCTATGAGTATGCTGTTGTTAGATGCCCAGATGTGAGGCTGACATTTTCCCACAGTGTCAGACAGCATTATTCTAACTGCATGGTCAGTTCTGTTTGTACACATCACTCACATTCAGAAAGCTGTGCTAAAACTGCCTAGCACAATGATCCTGACGATATAATGCCAATGTCATAGCTTCTATGAAAGAGCAGCAAACAAGTCACCAAACCAAAACAAAGTAACAGGTGGCCATAAAAATTACAGCCTTGAAAACTCTAAAGGGCAATTATACTCTGCTCTATAGGGGTGTTATAAGTCAGAAAAAAATGACTTGATGGTGGTAGGATTTGTTTGTTCATTCTCCATTACAGCACTGAAGGACTTTCCTTTTAAATGGCTTACATGTAATTCGATAGGGGTTTACTTGTTTAATATCTATAAAAAACATGGGCAGGTGCCACATCTATTTTATTTATCACTGTCCACCTTGCCTCTAGCCTAAAACCTGGCATAGAGGGTATGCATTCAGATTATCTGCTGACCTGAAGGTATGTTAGTGAGTCAAACAGAGCCAGGACTATTTTTATATGATTATTATTACTTAATATTTCAAATTTTAGAATCTAACAACATATCACTGTTTATACAGGCCTCACATTCTCTTTAAGTTGTCTTTATCTACATTACCTGAGGTGTTCGTTGTAACTCATACAAACTGAGTTCCCATGTTTTACTTAATGGCTGAGTTCCATTTGTCTGCACAGCCTGAGACATTGCTAGAAATAAAAGGAGAAAAAAAATTTATTTGAGCACATACTAGATGAATATTTATCGATGAAAGCAAAAGAGGTGTAGTTATAATTTGCATCTACAGTGAGAAAAAAAATTTATTTGAAAGGACAATAAATGCAAATTTGAGAATAATAAAAATAGAATCCACACATTGGTCACCAATCAAAATGAGTCATTAATAATTTGAGTCATATATGCCTTTCTATTAGAACCAAAACAATTGGTTTTAGTTTACAAAATAAGATCATTCTAGATTTCCTAGATGTTGATTTAAATTTAATTCATTTTTATTTTATTTACCTGGTATTTGTAAATTAATATTTATCTTATTGCTGCACGGGAACGATGTACATTAAACATTTTATATTTTGTTTTTAAAAGCATATTTAAGTAACAATGTCATAAAAGTAATATTGACATTTGATGAGAATTGTTCCTCCTTAAAGAAAGAATATTATTTACATTTAAGACACAAATATAAACTCTGCTATGCAAACAAAAAAAAATTCGAGTCATTAATCTCATAAACAAAGAAAAAGCTAAAGAATCTTTCCATTTGCAAATCTGAGCTATTTGAGAGCAAGAGACATTGATTCTGAATGCCCACCAGATGGCACAAGGAAAGTGCTTAATATCAAGAAAAGTGCCTAAGTGTTGTTGAAAACAATCTTTAAAAATTATTTTTCTGAAACTGATGGTCATGGAACTTAGAACAAAATCTCAGGAAAATGCCAGGCCCCTTAGCAAGACCATCTAGTCTTATTTTCAGAGATACAAAATCTTCTTCAGAGTTCTTTAAGCCACTACTCATTCTACTTCTATTTTCAAAGCTCTACTTAGAAAAATTCCCTACCCAATGTCTCATTTCTAAGTCTCAGAAAGCTCTTCCTAATCCCAACCCCCCACACCAATATTTATTAACCCTTCCAGAGGCAAACTCATTTTACGTACAGTTACATTCCACAGGCAAATTGATTAAGTGTAATGATTTTTATGATAGTCTCAATTATTTAGAGAATGCTACTGAAAGCAGGGAATACCAGAGGAATGTCTATTTGTGTTTCATTGACTATGCAAAGGCATTTGACTGTGTAGATCATAACAAACTGTGGCTGACTCTGAGAAGAATGGGAATCCCAGAACACTTGATCGTTCTAATGCGAAACTTATACTTGGACCAGGAGGCAGTCGTCAGAACAGAGCAAGGGAACACTGCATGGTTCAAAATTGGGAAGGGCATACGCCAGGGATGCATCCTATATACAGAACAGATTATCCGGGAGACTGGGCTCTAGGAGGAGAAATGTGGGGTCAAGATTGGTGGACGATTTATCAACAATCTGTGTTATGCGGATGACACAACCCTGCGTGCTGAAACTGAGGAGGACCTGAAGCACCTGCTGCAGAGGGTCAAGGACTGCAGCCTCCAATATGGACTGAGGCTCAATGTCAAGAAGACAAAGATTCTCACCACTGGACCAATCGGCAGCATCAGGATGGATGGTGAAGAGATTGAGATTGTACACAGCTTTAGTTTGCTTGGCTCCATAGTCAACAGTCTTGGCACCAGCAGCCGGGAAATTAAAAGGTGCATTGCCATGGGAAAGTCTGCTGTTAGGGACCTCTCCAAAGTACTGAAGAGCAATGGTGTCTCTCTGGAGACTAAGGTGCATCTGATACAGGCCATGGTCTTCGCAATCACCTGTTATGCATCAGAGAGTTGGACAATGACCAAGGAGGATAGAAGGAGAATTGATGCCTTTGAGCTGTGGTGCTGGAGAAGAGTACTGAGAATACCATGGACTGCTAGGAAAACAAATAGATTTGTCCTGGAGAGGGTTAAACCGGGTGGCTCCTTAGAGGCAAGGATTCTGAGGCTCCGTCTAACTTACTTCGGACATGTAGTGAGGAGAGACCGGTCCTTGGAGAGGGACATCATGCTTGGGAGGGTGGAGGGACGGCGCAGTAGAGGAAGGCCCTCTATGAGGTGGATTGATTCAGTGACTGGGATAATTGGGATGGGAGTGTCAGAGACAGTGCGATTGGCACAGGACAGAGCGGAGTTTAGGGCTGTTGTACATAGGGTCACTATGAGTCGCAGGCGACTCGATGGCACATAACAACAACAACAACTGTACAGGTCAGAGAGAACAATAAGAACATGGAGAAAGGGGGTCCAGTGAAGTTCTGGAAAATAGAACTGGCGTCAGTAACAACTGCTGCAGCACTGGATGAACCCCTCCATCCCATAGTTCTGTTTGGAAGTGATGAGTTCCAAGATCTTGGGAAGTACAACCACTGCTGTAACCTTAAAATACAACTGTGATCACAGTGTAAGAAAAAGTTATCTCTCACCTCTCATCAGGAAAATTTACTATTTAAAAGGCAAGAAAGTTAGTAGTAAAGAAAAGGCCCCTTAAATACTGAAACTCTTTCCCTAGGCCTTTATTCCTTCTCACTCACAAGGAGGGATCCTCTTACTGTACTACGCTTGGCTGTTAATATTTCTTTGTTTTTTCTCTAATAATTTTTATACTATTCACTTTTTTGACTGTGTGGCATCCTCTGGAGAGAACTTGCCAATCCTCTCCAAGGAGCTGGACCCTAGGCATCTTGTATACCGCTATAGGAATCTAATACTATATTACACCAAATGCCCTAGTTCCTTCTACCGTTCCTCAGTAAAGAAAGGGAGCTGAAGGATCTTATAACGAAATAACCTGATTTCATTTTTTCTTTCCAACGCCAATTTTCCACAACAGCAAAGCATGGAGCTATTAGTTTTCTTGCTCTAGGTAGTATATTTTCAGTGCAAAAATGTAAAAGCTTTAAAAAAAAAAATCAAACACATTATAAACTCATTTGGTGTTATGTGCCATTGAGTTAGCAACCCTTTGTACAACAGGCCTAAACTCTGCTCTGTCCTGTGCCAGTCGCACTGTCTCTGACACTCCCATCCCAATTATCCCAGTCACTGAATCAATCCACCTCATAGAGGACCTTCCCCTCCTGCATTGTCCCTCCACCCTCCCAAGCATGATGTCTTTCTCCAGGGACTGGTCTCTCCTTACATGTCCAAAGTATGTTAGACAGAACCTCAGAATCCTTGCCTCCAAGGAGCCACCTGGTTTGACCCTTTCCAGGATGAATCTGTTTGTTTTCCTAGCAGTCCATGGTACTCTCAATACTCTTCTCCAGCACCACAGCTGAAAGGCATCAATTAAAATTCCTAACCTCTGCCCCTACCAGTCTGCTACTGTACTCAAAATTCTAAGCTGACATGTCTACTGTCTGTTTTGGTTCCTAAATTCACTTTGCCTATTTCTGATTTACAGTCATGTCATGTCATCTTGTTGCTGTTGTTATTATGTGCCATTGAGTCGCTTGTGACTCATAGTGACCTTATGTACAGAAGCCCTAAATGCTGCTCTATCCTGTGCCAACCTCGCAGTCTCTGACACACTCATTTCCACCATCCCAATCACAGAATTGATCCATCTTATCAAGGGCCTGTGCCTTCCCTACACTCTCTCAAAGATGATATCCATCTCCAAGGACCAGTCCCTCCTTGCAACATGCCCAAAGTGTATCAGATGAAGCTTCAGAATCCTTGACTCCAAGGAGCATTACAGCTTCACCCTCTCCAGGACACACCTTTTTGTTCTCCTAGATTCAACACTCTTCTCCAGCACCACAGCTCAAAGGCGTCAATTCTCTATCAACCCTATTCACTGTCCAACTCTCCCATGCCCATGCACAACATGAAACTGCGATGACTTAGACTTTAATTCTATATATTAAAATACCACTTGTTATTAAAATTATTATAAATCTGAATTTTATCATTTTTTTTCAACGTTGGACATGAGTAACATTCCCTTGTCTCTTTTGAAGTTCATTTTCTTAATATCTTCCTTAATAAAATGATGTCAGTTGATGGCATTTATGGTAACTACCATCACATTCTTAAAAAAAAAAAAAATAATTCATTTTCTTTACTACTTCCATGACTAAAACAAAGCATATTAAATTAACAGTCTTCATTTTCTACCCACCAAAGTTTAATTTTAAATTGCTCAGTTTTCTTTAAAAAAAAAAAAGATGATACTTTAGGTAAAAAAACTCTTACATAAGCAAATTAGTCTACCAGTATGTACACAGGAAGACATATTTTTAGCTGTTATTTAAATACATGTTTAAATATGAGCAACTACATGAAATCCTACTTATTTTTTAATACATAATTCTTTTTTTTTAAATATTCACTTTTGTCTGTTGTTAGCGATTCTTGAAACCTTCCAAACCGTGGTGACCAATGTTTGCAGAGCAGAAACTGCTTCATAGGGAAGCTGATCATTAGGTCTTTTCTCCTGGTCATTTTGAACTGCCTCTTCATTGGCAGTGGAATTGCTTAATCACTTTATCACCAAGGTTCCTTCATTTGTCTATCCATTGTTAAATTATTGGTCTAATATAGAACAAGACAGCAACACTGAAATACTCTGCGTTTGCCATACCAAAATTTAAAAGAAAAAAATCCTTGTACTTAGAAAGCAAATACTTCGCCCTGGTTTATTCTTTTTCAAAAGACCAGGTAGGTCATTAGGAGACAATCAACAATTCAAGACAAAAAGAATTTACCCAGAGGAGATAGTGAGCTTAATCACTATTCCCATTTTATTTGCTCAAATGTAATGCTTCAATAAGAAAACATATCATTTTTCAAAGAAAAGTTCTAAAACCAGGGAGTATATTCTCTCTACCAAAAATACCTTAATTCACCATTTTCAATAGTTTTTTTTAAAAATCACTCTATCAATAATATGGCAAATGAACTCTCAAAGCTGAAAACTAAAATGTTTGTAGTGTTTATTATAGCATATTATACAATGTAATTTGAGCCTGTTACAAAATGTAATTTGCTTAATGGAGTATTTTAACAAAACCTCACTGCCACAGACATTATCTTGTTGAATTCTCAATT